ATTTCTGCTAAGTCATTCAATAGTTTTTGGGGTGATTTAAAACAGGAGGTTGTGTTGCCATTAAATAAAATAATTATGGAAAATTGAAAAGTCTTTCATGGAGCAAAAAAAAAAAAAAAAACAGTAATTTAATACTTATCTTTGGGGCAGTTGCTTTAGTAGTAATTACTGTAATAATTGGTACTGTTTTCCTGCCGGGAAAGAAAGATAATAAACCGAATCAAGTAACTAATTTAGGAGAACAGCAACGGCAGCAAGTCCGAGAAGCGGCTTCCCAATTAGTCGGGAGTATTCTGGATAATCAAAATAATTTCAACCAATTAACCACTAATCCGGATGGGTCAAGACGAGACATTGATGAGATAGAGGAAGTTTTTTTATTAGGCAGCCTCAACCGATCGCCCCACTCTCCTACTACTCCAGCACCAAATCAAATTACTAGTTCTCTTTCTTTTGAAGTCATCGAGCAAACTTGGTATGAATTAAGAGTTTTTATATTGGCTGGCTTACAAAATCCAAACCAATCTCTTATAGATAACGCTCGATTAAGAATTAAGAATGATATCGAAAAGTGATTAAAATGGGAATTAGAAAAGATAAAAAGTGATTATAGTGAACTATTAGATGAATATTTAAAGGTAATTCAAGAATTAAAAACGATTAAAGAATTATTTGAAAAATATACCCAAATTAGGACTGATTTAGTAATTAACAAAGTAAGCCGTAAAGACGAATTAATTTTCAAAGGTTATTCCGAAAAAGACGTTGAAAAATTAACAGAATGGGGATTATTAGAACAAGATTTTTCTAACTTGTTTGACGAAAAAAGAATCGGAGTCACTAATACCCTTTCGGTTAGTTCAGGGGAGTCAAAAGGATGAGGGAAGAAAGGAAATGCACGTGGACTGTCGCTTTTTTTGAAACCACATAATAGAAAAAAATATCAGGTTTATTTTCCCGAAAACATAATAGAAGAACAACGAAATTCGGTTCGGCAATTAATTGAATTATTATTAGATAAGTCCGAAAAATTAGGAAAAGAAGTCTACAAAAATGATATCTACATTTTAAGAGTAGGTAGCCGTGATAGAGAGGGGACAATCAGCGGACCATCTTCCGGCATAGCCCATTATTTAGCACTTTATAGTGCTTTAAACAATCTACTGGCACAATTGAGGGTAATAAAGTAGGGGCAATAGGTGGCTTAAAATATAAATTAGAAGCAGTGGTTAATAAAAAACTAAAAGGCCAAGAGGATAATTTAGATATTTTTATTCTTTCCGAAGAAAATAAAAATAATGAATGAAGATTAAATAAAGAAGGCAAAGAAGTTTGTCATAAATATCCAGAAATAGATAGTTATGAGGATATAAAATCTCCTCTTTTACAAAAAAAAGTTAAGCAGGTTCATTTCATTAGTCAAGTTGACCAAATTGGAGTTGCTTTACAAGAAATATTAAAAGAACCAGAGAAAAAAATTACTCATAGTTGTGGAAAAGACGAAATCCCAGAAAAGAAACCTGAAAAACCTGAACCTCGCGAACCACCCCAAAAGCCAGAGAAACCAAACTCTGAAATTACCTCTGAGCAACTTTTGAGTTTGGCAACAGAATTAAGCATCAGAGAAAAAGGAGACAGCCGAGATTTTTGGGAAAAATTAAGTTCTTCTATTCAAAAAAATCCTAATTATCAAAAAACATTTCAAGAGACTTTAAATCTCCGCAAAGAATACTTAGATAAATTAGAAAAGTTACAATCTAATCCTAACCAGAGAAATTCGAACCAAGGTAAAAAAACTAGGAAGTTTGTTCGTGCTTCTGATGGAAAAATCCTTGTAAAGGAGGAAGAAGTTAGAGAAAATGACAAAATGACTTGCGAAGTTTGCCATCAACAATTTGAAGATGGTTATACAACGTTCGTAAAATCGAATTGATGATGTCCTAAATGTGCTCCTGACCCAGTAAAAAAGGGGGAAATAAAAGTAAAAGATGAGAAAATAGAAGCCAAAGACCCAATTGACCCTAAACCAGAAGAAATAGAAAAGAAAACGAAAGAATTATACCAAGAATACGAAAATAAATTTAAAAAAATTGCTTCCGCAGTCGCCAATTTGAACATGGAAATATTAACTAACTTATCAAATCTAGGCTGCGTTATCCAAAAAATTAACTGAACTGGCGAACTACAGGCCCCTAGTCTAACCGCCAAACCCTCAGTAAGTTTTTCATAGCCGAAAAAAATTAAAATTCAAGCAAAAATTAACCATAAAAAAAGAATAATTTATTAATATGGGTTATTCGCATTACGAAATTGAAAAGAAATGACAGGAATATTGAATCAAAAATCAAACTTTTTTTACTAGTTTAACTGATAATTCTAAGCCAAAAAAGTATATTTTGGCGATGTTTCCCTACCCCTCGGGAAGTGGTTTGCATGTCGGTCATATTCGCAATTATACCATTACTGATGCCTTAGCTCGTTTTTACCGAATGAAAGGATATAATGTTTTGATGCCAATTGGTTGAGATGCCTTTGGTTTGCCAGCCGAACAATATGCCATTCAGACTGGCAATCATCCTGCTGAATTTACCCAAAAAAATATTCAAAATTTTAAAAAGCAGTTATTGAAAATGGGATTTTCTTATGATTGAAGCAAGGAAATTAATACTAGCGAACCAAATTATTATCACTGAACCCAATGAATTTTTCGCCAAATCTACCTCCAAGGACTAGCCGAACATAAAGAAATACCAGTTTATTGATGTGAAAAATTAGGAACAGTTCTCGCTAATGAAGAAATCAAAAATATTGAGGGGGGGAAAGTTTCTGAACGAGGTAGTTATCCAGTAGTAGAAAAAAAAATTCCGCAATGATTATTGAAAATTACTAAATATGCTCCCCAATTATTAAAAGACTTAGACAAATTGAATTGACCCACCGGTATTAAAAGTTTACAAAAGAATTGAATAGGACTTAATCAGGGTACTTTTATTGACTTTACCGTAATAGAAAAAAGCATAATCATCACAGTTTTTACCAAAAGTCCCCATACTATTTATGGAGTAACAGCCCTCGCTTTATCCCTCGACCACCATTTTTTAACAGAGCTCACCTTACCCGAAAACCGAACTAAAATAAATAATTTTTGCACCGCTTGAAAAGATAAACAGAGCAAGGAAATCGCGGCTGAATTTACGGGCAGTTATTGTCAACATCCTTTAACTAGTGAAAAACTTCCAATTTGAGTAACTAATTTTGTGCTTGGCAATTATGGCACGGGAGCAGTCATGATTAATGCTTTTTTTCCAGAAATTTTTGCCTACAAAGAAATCCCTGGATTAGTTAGCGAAAAAGAATTAAAACAAAACAAAGAAGTAGATTTTGCATTTGTCCAAAAATATAATTTGCCGATAAAAAAAATCTTCCATTTAAGCCATTCCGAAAAAGAAATAAGCGGATATTTTGTTAATTCGCCTTTATTTAATAATTATCGGAGCAGAGAGGAAGCAATTAAAATTATAAACCATTATTTAGAAAAAGAGAAAGAGGGTAGAATTGGGGAAATTTATCACCTCAAAGATTGAGTTTTTTCTCGACAACGCTATTGAGGGGAACCGCTACCAGTTATTCATTGAAATGATAATAGCAAAAGTATTGTGCCTGAAAAAGAATTGCCATTAGTTCTACCCCCTTTAAAAGATTTTGCTCCCAATCCACGTTATTATTCTCCGTTGCAAAAAGCCTCAAAGTGAGTAAATGTAATTAGAGAGGATGGAATAGTTGGAACAAGAGATATAAATGTCATGCCGCAATGAGCAGGTTCTTGTTGATATTATATCGCCTTTTTGTTAAGAGAAAATAATAATTATTTAGCAATTAATAGTGAAAAAGCCCAAGCAATTATAAAAAAATGACTGCCAGTAGACATTTACATTGGGGGACAAGAACATGCTAATTTACACTTGCTTTATGCTCGTTTTTGACATAAGATTTTATATAAAATAGGAGTGGTTAATTGTTCGGAACCTTTTCAAAATTTTTTTTGTCAAGGTATGATTTTAGGAGCCGATGGCCAAAAAATGTCAAAATCTCTGGGAAATGTAGTCAATCCGGATGAGTTGGTAGAAAAATACGGTGCAGATGCTTTGCGACTTTATGAAATATTTTTAGGTCCACCCGAACAGACTACCAAATTTGACCCTAATGGAGTACATGCTATGAAAAAATGATTAGACCGTGTATATAATTTGTTTGTTACTCATAGAGGAAAATTTATAACTAATAACAAAGACAATGAGTTAACACGGCAATATCAAAAGACAATAAAAAAAGCTAGTGATTATTATCAAAATATTAAACTTAACCTGGCTGTTTCCTCCTTGATGACCTTTATTAATGAATGCTACAGAGCAAAATCAATACCAATTGACTATGCTTTGACTTTTTGTCAATTACTAAATCCGTTGGCACCACACATTAGTGAAGAATTATGAAGTTATTTTCATAAAAAACCCATTAGCGAAAGTAATTGACCGTCAGAGGAAAACTTTTCCGAAATTTCCCCTTCGCTTCAAATAAATATAGTGGTGCAAATTAACGGCCAAAAAAAAACAGTAATTTCCGTAAGTCCAGAGAAAAATCAGTCCGAAATCGAATCAATCGCTAAAAATAACCAAAAAATAAACAAAATATTAGCAGGAAAAGAAATTAGCAAAGTTATTTTCATAAAAAACAGGTTAATTAACTTTGTTATTTAGTTAAAAAACTATGTTAGAACCTTTAAATTACAAAAAAATGCTTCTCGGAGTTCTTTTAGTAGCATTGTTACTTGGTGCTGTTTTATTTATTAATTGAAAGATAGATAGTAATAAAAATGAGAAAAAGAAGGAAAATTCGGAAAATAATCCTAACCAGCCGAGTAATGATAACCCTACACCACTAGACGAAAATGGAGGAAATAACCCTCCCCCGCAAGATACGAAAATTGATGGCTAACTGATGAGGAAATCGAACACGCTTACCAGGAAATTAGGAAAGAAATCACTAACTCACCAGAAATACAATTAGTTAATCCCAGCGTGGTTCGTGTTATCCAAGAAGGAGGAGAAATTAGCGAAGATTTGAAAAAAGCCAAAATTATATTCTTTCCGATAAATAATTCCGAAAACCATGAAACTTCTGACAGTGGAAATCATTGGACTTTATTAGTTTGCGATAAGAAATTAGGTGTATTTTCAAATTATAACTCTTCGGAATTTACTCTCACTCCGAAAAATGCCATGAAAGTAGCAGAAAACTTTCATGAAAAAGCAACTTTAGAGGCTTGGCCTCTCGTCGTAAATGAGAAAGATATTCCTCGACAAACTAATGGTGCGGATTGTGGAGTTTATGTAATAGCTTATGCAAGAGCCTTAATCGAAAAGTATAAGGAGGAGGCAAAACTAATTTTGGGCGAAAAATATTTAATTTTCTCTATTGCCGAAGAAAGACAAAAGTTAAAAGCGGCTGGTTTTCCTAAAAAAGACACCCCTGGAAAAGATTATGAGATTGGTGATGACGTTGAATATTTGGAAAGTGAGGAAGGACTTATTTCTCAGTGATGACCCACCAAGGATAGCCCTTACCATCCACTGAGGAAATGTGTTCGAAATACTTGAAATTTAGATAGAGAAAGTGGTGAACCGTATGACCATGCCGATAAATTTAAAGAGTTTAGCAAAAAGGTTCGTTTATTAAGTGGTGCAAGCAAGATAGAGAAAGAAAAACTTAACCAAATCTACCGAATTAAAAAGATTTTAAAAGCCTGTAGTTTGCCATTAGCAGAATACAAAAAAACCAAATCTTTTAATGGCAAAGACAATTTTCGCGAGGACAAAATAACTGCCGAAGAAAGTCAATTCGTGAG